CTTTTGACTAATCACGATTAGCGCGTAGTTAATTTCCTAGGAAAAGATTGTCCAAAGATAAACCGTTCTGTGAAAATGCCGTGACATAGGCTCGGATGGGAGTTGAACACTCCAACTGATAATGGGCTCCTGCCGTAGGTCAAAATTTCAATACTTAGGGGGAGATTGCGGGACTTTGACAACTGACCGCTTAATGCAGGTTCGACTGTGTTGTTGTTTCTCTCACGATGTAGTCACTTCCGTATATCGCAGCGCGTTTTGACTGAACAATGGTATGAATGCTTTAGTAAGTAAATTTTTGAATTTCATGGACATCTCGTTTAATCCCGCATCAAAATGTCAAAACTATTGGAACAAATTCGTGATAAGGACCTGCACATGCTGGTCTGAAGAACAAGAAATTCTGTAGGAAGCCTTCGTGCACGAAAAGAGAGTAAACGCGTACTTTAAAGAAACTCTGTTAACAACGCATTGAAAACGATACTGTAGATTACCTACCTGGGTAAAATTTTGCTTAGCAAGGGGCCTTTAAACCTTTGAAGCATACATCACCCCAAACAATTTTATATATGTATATATTTTTTCACCTTCGGCATGACCAGCATATGCGAGATTTTTTTTTTCAGCAGACAACTGGTTGAAGAACCTCCCACCGAGTCGTTTGGTTTCTGCACAGTTTCTATTGAAGTTTTCTTCCAGGCAGAATTTTTTTCTGCTCTGTGAAATCGGCCCCCCGGTTGCATTGCAATGTAAACCATTTACAACGATTTCTTTAGAAGGATATCAAAGTTACACGATGCACATACAAAGGATTTATAATCCATTAGTGTTACTTCTTACTGTTACAACAGTAGCCACCAGTGGTCGAAGAATCTCCCACCAAGTCGTTTGGTTCCTGCATAATTTCTATTAAAGTTTTTTTCCGGGCAGAATTTTTTTCAGCTCTGTGAGTCGGCCACCCGGTTGCATAGTAATGTAAACCATTTACAACGACTTCTTTTGAAGGAAATTTAAGTTACAAGATGCACCCATAAAGGATTTATAATCCATTAGTTTCACTACTTACTGTTAGAACAGTGGCCACCAGCTGCAAGGGACCCACCAGCACTGCTATTTTCACTGGTAATTTAAAATTTTTTGTATGGCTGATTTATTTCTTAGACAACATGGGAACGTCAATCGTAGAATGGCGGGAAATCCGGCAATGTGACCGATCGTGTGAAAAGAAAATAACACGATCGCGTAATCATTGTGTTTAGGGGCAGTATCCCCTCTACTGTAAAATAACAATTTTATAGGAATAGAACGCACTTTTTGGTCTTATAATCATTTTCTCTCCATTTTCTTCTTTCACCTCTCCGGTAGCAAGCTGAATTTGATCCCGGCAAAATCGTTTTTAAGGGACGTCGGAACAGCCTTAAGCCACATTTTTATTCCAGCAACTTGCAATTTTTGTCCCATGATCAACCCCAAATCCTCTGCAGATAACTCAGTATCCGATTAGGGGCAACTTATTCTAATACTAATATCTAAAAAACGAAAACGTAACTTCTGCACCTTCGAGTCCTCGGGCTTTCTTTCTGCTGAAAGAGCAATGAATGGCATTTTTGTAAACGACGAAAAATATACAAGAGTTTTGCAGTAGTGTTCGCGGATCACTGAATTATACTTCCATGTCGTAGACCTTTCCTTATGTTTCGTGCTTATCTTAACCATTTGCACCCAAACATCAGTATACAGATTCTCTAGACTGTTCTCTATGCATTCTCTATGTTACTAACGAGGAGAATTTTGTTTAACAATAAAGAGCTATCGAAGTTTACGATCATTTCTTTTATTCTTGTGAACCTAATGCCTGATTCAGCCGTGGTGACATGTTGTAAAGAGAAGTTAGAGGCTGGTCGCACTCCTAAGGATTAAGGGTTTACCCGCTATCGAATCAGATATATAGAGTGTAGGAAACTTCGTTTGAAAATATCTGGTCTTCTTGGACAGTTTGGTGTTTTTTTATAACTTAAATATGCTTTCTATTTGCTAACTTACAGTAGTCTGAACACAAAAACTTACTCGATAGCTTAGGCTCGATCTCCGCCGCTCTCTCGAGTCCGGTCTTTATCCTTCCTCCGCGAGAAGAGACGGCGGGACGTACGAGCGGCCATCCATGTCTGTGACGTAATTTGAAAAAATTAATCTATGCGTTCTCAGATGTCACTGGAAGTGAAATAGGACTCCAATTCGAATGGATGGCGTACATATGATCGCTGATACGCCGGCTAAATTTAACTCGAAAACTGGATGTGTCTTCTGTGACTGTGAAGAAAAAGATTCTAGGAAGAGAACGAAGGTGTCTGATTAGCGGAAAAGGATTTGCGACGTACTGGAGATTCCTCCTTCTCGTATTGACTTTGGAAGGTTGCATTTGTAACGATCACTGCTATCGACTAGTCAAGCGCCTTGAGAGGCTCCGAGAACAAACAAATGCCTTTCCTTGCTCGTTTAAGGAAAATTTTGAAACGATTAATTCTAGAACGAAGCGTGGCGTACCATCCGACTCCACAATTTGAGCAAGTGTTGCCGCGCCGTCAATAATAAGCACCTCCAGCAGCAGACGTCGCCGGCGACACGCCGGCAACCGGAAACGTGAAATTTCTCAGAAGTCCTCACTGCGCATGCACAACACGTTAGGACTTGCCGTCGTCCCGAAGTCGAGAACGCAAGAACGTGAGTAATTAATCTTTTGTTTTGATGGCATTTAGCTTACTTTCGGATTAATTAAATTTGGAAGCTAAGTAAAATTACAGAATGATTGATTTTATGTTTGAAATAATGTTGTGCAAGTATTCACTATTATTAGGCTCATTTTTTTCAAAAATTATTTTTGCATGCCAAACTAGCTTCCAGTGGAGAGGTTGCTTTCATGACCAACGGAATACTTACTTGTTTTTTCCGATTTTCTCAATGTATAACCGGTAGATTGTCAAAGCTTGAAATAACATTAAGTCATATTTGTAGTTCCTTCCTCTTGGTCTTTCATTTAACATTGAAGCTTTTTGATCGGCTCAAAT